TTTATTTATTTATGTATTTATTTATTTTGCAACTAGGTCTCCCTGAATCACCTAGGTTGACCTTTAATTTGCAATCTTCCTGATTGCAATCTACTTCCTCTGGAGTGGTTGAGATTACAAGGGTGTGCCCATGCCCAGCTCCCATCCCTCATTTTAAGTCTACTGGGAGCTCAACGGAGCCTCAAGTTTATCACATCGTTGTATGACCCATCTCTTGCCTTTCTGAGAGATTATTGTCAGCAGACCTCTCGCTGTAAAGTTCTTCATGATGAAATTACATAAAGGAGAAGAGTACAGAAAGTGAATACCCCAGATGATTTTGTTGTGACTGTTGTAATAGAAACAGCTCATTATTAATTAATGAGGAACATGTCAAAGGAAAGGAATGGAGCCTTGCACAGTGCCTGCCTGGCAAGCACAAGGTCATGAGTTCAATTCCTGGTACCAGGAGGAGGAGGAGGAGGAGGAAGAGGAGAAGAAGGAAAGAAATGGAGCATGGCGTTGGATAGAGGAAAACAAATAAGGGAGTTCTGAGGAGAAAGGATGTGTGGGGAAGTCTTTAGCCTTTGCCTGAATGGCTGAGGAAGAGCAGAAGTAGTCTTGTCCTGGAATATGCTAGAGCCGCGCAGTCAGCAGCTACGCCTCAGACTACAACACAGGGAAGAAAAAGGATAAATGGTAAGGTGCTGCCGCTGCTTTCCAGAAGTCACAGGTTCAGGTCAGTTTAGCACTGTCCATGGGCTGGAATGAAAGAAAAAAAGGAATCAAACACCCTCCAACAACACATTGTTCACACGCACCCATTTTTTGTTGTTGTTGTAATGGTTTTTTTGTTTTGTTTTGAGACAGGCTATCTCACTATGTAGTTCAAGCTGGTCTTGAACTCATGATGTAACCCAGGCTGACCTCAAACTTGGAGAGATCCAGCTACCTCAGCCTGACAAGTAGCTGGGATTACAGGCTTGAGTCACCATGCAAGGCCACAGCTCTCTCTCTCTCTCTCTCTCTCTCTCTCTCTCTCTTTTTGGCAGAACCAGGAACCAAGGATTGAACTCAGACCCTTGTGCTTGCCAGGGAAGCACTTATTCCACTGAGCCATCTCCCCAGCCCAACACAGCTATCTTCTGAAAGCTGTGTCAAACCTTGCTCTACTGCCCTTTCAGCTGCCTAATTTTCTCCTATTTCTCCATGAAGTAATAGCCCGTGACCCAGGACATGTAACCCCAGGGCAAGGGGCACTCAAATACATTGCCAGTTGTGCATCCAGGTTGCCAACTTCAAAGTCAAATAGGTACCCTTGGGGGCTGATACCCTTCCCCCTCCGGGCCCATCCTTTCTCTCCCTCCCATCCTTCATGTCTAAGCTTTGCTGTTCCCTTCAGGTTGGCCACCAGCCCAACCCCAGGATCCAAAGGAGGGCCTCTTCAAAACAGGTATGACCATCCCTCCCTCCTTGGGGGCTGCACTGGGCCTTGGGGGCAAGCCCTGTCTTCGGCCCTCTAGTCACAGCTGAGGGCTCGGTCAGCCTTTATCCCTCTAGCACTGCAAAGAACAGCTCTGACGCTATCAGGACAGCTACTTCCAGCAGTGACTGCTCCACGCCCAATATCCTTGTATACCTGTGACATCCACAGATGCTGGGCCTCACCCCCAACTGTCCCCACAGCCGTGGGTCAGGCATGGGGTTCCCGAACTGGGTCCTGAGACTCTCCCCGGAAGAACAGGACTACAACCCGTTCACGTCCACTGTCCCCTCTCACCCTCATGAGACGCAGGCTTTAAGGTGAGACTATCTGTACTCACCCATGGAGTATGAATACGTTCCAGACGGAGGATGATGTCTACATTTAGCAATGAGATTGAGAGATAAGATTTTGAAATTTGGTTTAAAATATGCTGGGGGGAAATGAGACCTTGTGTGACTGTTGGGGGAGGGGAGGGCAGATCTTTTTT